GCAGAACTCTTAGTTTCGTCACCTGACTGATGATTATCCAAGCCGTTACTAGCGGTCACGTCTTTTATTTGAGGGCGTGGATCCGCAAACACTTCCTCCCTTTGGGGGCGGTTCGCATAGAATACCCACAGCACCAGACATAGTAACACTCCCACGGAGATGAGTCCGAGTCCTGCATTCACAATCCTCAGATTACGCTCCAATGGTGGACAGTAATCTGAGGTAATGCTCTCAAATGTCTCCCTAACAAAGTTGCAATCTCGGAAGCTAAGTAAAGGCGGTGTGTAATGCTCGAGGGCGTAGCTCTCATTCACAGCTGCTACCAACTGTGCATAGTTGTCTGGCGTTACTCTCCCCACTGTTGTGCAGACTCCTGCTTGTGATACCTCGCATACGTAATTCTCCCAGACCTGAGAAAAGAAATGTATGGAGAAGAAGTTCCTTAAGAAATGTCTTAGACCTTGTGGTGTTTAAGGCATATAAAGAGAGGTGAGTTGAGTAGTACCGATGATGCATTTGCTATAGACAATTCTTGTGGCGCGCACTCGCGATCTTCCATATTTGCATCGAATGGGCTGCACAGAGGAGGCATCGGAGGCCCAGACTGATTGTAATATTGGTCTTGGCCTGGAGATGGGTTTGTATTTGCATAGGCGTAGACATAAGTGTTTACAACGGTCACGATGCTATTAATGACAACTTTGCTCTGGGCAAGAGTCTGGTTTGTTGTTTGCTGATCAACACATGGGAGGATGCTGCTTAGAGCTGTTTCTGCGTGAGGATGATCAACCCATTCCTTCATGGCTACGCACGTATCTGAAATTGCACTGTACAAAAAAAAAAAAACCAACGAAATTTAGCTAAGTTGTTAACTACATCTGCGAGTCTACTTTAAAAGGTAAGGGAAAATTAAACTAGTGAACAGCAAAATCTTACTTGTTTAGGATCAGAAAGACTCCACAGAGAATAAATGTCACAGCCACCAGTATCCACCCGCTCACGACGAATCTGCCATCATATACATCTTCATGAGTCAGGTTTACATTTATCTTAAAGACTTAAACCATTAGAGATTAAAGAAAAGGAAAATGTTAAGAGTTTAAAGGGCTCACATATGAACAACGTGTTGATGGCGGAGTACAGAAAGCGCTGTAATAACGCAAAGAATAGAGAAACGATTAAACTCAATTGGATGTCAGAGCTAAATCAAAAGGGAATATCAAAGAACCGTATGAACATCAACTGGACTTACCAAGACCAAGAAAAGAAAGGATGAGCATCACAGTAGCTACAGTGATCAAAGCCCATCGCCTGAAAAGTGCATATGCAGAGTTAGTACTGACACTTATTCCCTATTAATCCATAACATTCAGTTCACAACACAAGGTTCAGGGAAACCTACACAGCATAGAAAACTCTCTTTATCTTAGCAGCATTATCTGTTGTTTTCTCCTCTAGTGTAACTGCTGCAGTGTTCAGATTGACATTCATCTTGTCAATTTCATTCAATACATCAGGTGGAAGCGTAAACCGAGTCACGTTAATCATTTTTGCAAGGGACAGATATTGAGTCACATTCTGGAGGACCTCCACAGTGTAGTCTGACTGATTTACCACATACTTAAGAGTATGCAAAGCTTCGGTATGAAATTTACCCTGTCCAACAGACAAAAGAATGCATCCCACCCTGAACAAAAAAAGACCAGTTCAATCTCAGGAAACAGCAATAAAAGACAAAGAACCCAGTTAAGGACGTGAGGCAAACAAAGATGAGAAAATTACGCTGCAGCACAAGTAAAGACTATCAACAAGATGAGACAGATTCTTCGTGAATTGTACGATGATCCCTTGGCTTTGTCGCATACTCTCCATTTGAAGCAATGATATAGAACAAGAAGAGAGCCAAAAGACAAGAGCCAAACAGTGGCTAGAATGAAAGCAGGAGCACCTGTAAATCCAACAGACTGCAGATTGACCATTACTACCAAAGATCCTAAAACTGAAATCAAAAACAAGTGGAGACAACGAGAGAACAGAGACTTACTGCCCAATAGTGATTACTGGTGATATTCCAGCCACCATGGTAAGGCTTAAAAGCTCTAAGAATGTCAGGTCTCTTGGTTCTATCAGCTGCTAAAACGAGGTAATCAGAGATTATAACTGATGGTCCTGGTGCTAACAATTCTGGTGAGATTGCACCTTTCCATGATCCAAAATTAGGTGACCCTGTGATTGTAGCAAATCAGAATTGCACCC